AAAATTTAATGTCGTTTTAATCTGTTCGTAGCGAGCCCGCCGAAATCTTTTTCGACATGCATGGTTCGTTATATACTAGCCTTTATAATAGCCATGTTTGTTTAGCTTTGAAATTACGCAGTAGTAAAGCGTTTTTGTTTTCGAATATTTTTGGCGCTCTTTCAGCGTTACCTTCTTCAACCCACGGCTACGCTATGTTCTGGTTTGTTTCCACTTCACTGTAGAAAGCAAAACCAACCCAGTTTGGGTCATACCATGTTAGAAATTTCTCAAACACATGCGGTGTTTTTTGGAGTCTTTAGTTAGAAATTTAAAGAAAACGACAAAACTTTTGAGTTTAAAAGACATGTTTCGACAGAAACCTCTGTCATCTTCAGTTGATTAACAAAGCGTTACAAGTTGAATTTATAAGTACAAGCTAATTAAGCTAGTAACAACAGAAAAAGTGACAATGTGAAAATTATAAGGATAGCTTTGTAACCCTTTGTTAATCAACTGAAGATGACAGAGGTATCTGTCGAGACATGTCTTTTAAACTCAAGAGTTTTGTCGTCTTCTTTAAATTTCTGACTTGCCTGCTGACATCAGGATAGTTTTAGTTAATCGTTCCTATTCAAAGTCAGACCTCAACTTTGAGTCAACATGGGGCAAAGCAGTATTTTTTAAATCGCTCTACTTATTTTCGGTGTCTTCTTTTACTTTTGCCCACTTAAAAGGAATACTTCTTCATCCAGCGACACTCTCGACTACACACTTGCACTGGAACTCTTGAAGCAGAACCAGTGTGTCGGCTTTTGCACATTGCATCCTGCTGCGAGGTTGTGTTTCGCATTTCGCTTCCGATTACCCTGCTGTTAAATATTATTGAATCTAGAAATGGTTGACTGTTATATCTTGTTTTACTTACACGAATATGTTACCATAGTACACCTTATCTTTCCTGCATCACGTTGTTTACCACCATATATAAATACGGGAACTTTGCACATGCGAATGTGGTGGTGTACTCTCAGAAAGTAATAAACAACTCGTAGTCTTGAAGTGTTCTGTTGTAAGCTCATATATCGACGGTCCCAACATTGGCGACGAGGATTTTTCGTGAGTATCAAGTAGCAAAAAGTGAGAATTATGCATGGAGAAGAAGCAGAGCAAGGCCAAGGGAAAAAATTCCAAATAACCTTATACATTAATTATGCATTCCATGTCATTAATTATGTATGCGCGTTATTGTTTAACAAGAAAATAACTTATTCCCAAGGGTTTAGCATATACACATTACTAATAAGTACTTACTGCTTCAATAAAAGAGAAATTGATTGAGAGTGGCTTTTCCTTCTCTATTTCTGTCTTTCGTTCTTCTCCCTTATCCCCTTTATTCCCACTAATTTCTCCTTCTTTTTTTCCCTTTTTTTACCTTCTGAGCAGCCCTGCAGAGTCTTGAACCATTGCTTATTAGTCAACGCGTTACTACCAGACCATTACCAGCCCATTGCCTTAAGCACCATGCTACACAAATCAGTTAGAAGATATATTCCAAAAATTACTTTTTGTTTTACCTTTCACTGAAAAGAGTTTTCATAACAATATGTGCATTGATATAATGCCCAAAAGGTCCCCTTTGCACTAAAGAATGCATTTTTTCTTCTCTACGATTGGTCAAATACCACATAAAAAACAAAATTTATTCATCAATATTGCCGAGGTCGCGCCATCGAAGGAAAGTGGGTATTTGGTGGCATTTGCCGAGAAACCAAGGCCTTCTTAATTGTTCTGTTAGAGTGCAGGGACAAAGATACACTATTGCCCATCATACGTGCTCAAATATTGCCGGGGATACGCATGATGAGCGACTTATGGAGAGCTTACAATTGCCTAAATGACGAGGGCTATGATCATCGCACAGTAAACCACAGCCTAAACTTCGTTGACCCAGACACTGGTGCCCACACACAGGGCATCGAAAATACATGTTGGGGAATCAAGCGAGGTTTTCCCCGAACAGGAACATCCAAAGGACTTTTCGATGGTTACCTACAAGATTATATGTGGCGTCAGCACTACGGAAATGATCCCTTTGGAAACATTATCGAACATATCGCCCACCTTTATGAAGGCAGAAAGACTAGTTTAATAAAAGTTTCTTTGCATCGCCGTATTCACCGGCCTTCGCGATCTACTTTCGTCACTCGGGCACGAAAAGATAATGAAAGAATCAACCAAAACCACAAGAACAGGTAAGACAACATTTATTTAAACCTTGCATTGAAAAACTTTACAGCCTGACGATAGCCTTGATATTATTTTCCGCCCACCCATAAGCTTTCAACGCGAAACTGAACATTCAACCTCTGGAAAATGACTTGAATTTCTCGTTTTGCAAAGCCAAAACTCGCCGAATTTACCCTGTTTCAAAAAAGACTTGGAAAAAAAACCCAAATTTTTAAAATAAAGACCACAAGTCTCTGCGGAGTTCTATTGTTAACGCTATTGTTTTCATTGAACAAAGACCAAATGCATAATTAATGTATGGGGTTATATGGTATTCTTGCCAGGCCAAGGAGCAGCACAAGCCATTCGCGTCGTCACAGAGACGAAAAACCTTCGAACACAGCCATTCATCGTTCCGGACGAAACAAATCGCGTTTGCAAGGCGTGGGAAGAATGGCTAGAAGGAATTGAGCGAGAATTTCGATACTTTCGAATTACAGAAGCCGTCGACAAAAAAGATGCTATAATTATCTACGAAGGGAAAGAGATAGCCCGACTAGAGAAAAGCCTACCGGACCCAGAAATGGAAGACGTTTGCCTGAAGCTGCGAACGAAGTTGAACGACCATTTTACTCAGAAGAAGAATAAGCATCATGCGAGGTATTTATTTTTGAAAATGAGGCCACATGTTGGTGAAACCACAAGTACATACGCGGCAAGACTGTGAGAGAAAGCCAAGGAATGCGAATTTGGAGCCACATTTGACGAGAGAATCTTGGAGCACATCATCCAAACCATCGACAACAAGTAGTTTATTGAAAAAGCCATCAGCAAAACGTGGGACCTGATGCGATTCCTGACCGAAGCAAGTCAGACGGAGGATATCGCAAGGCAAATGAAAGACATGGGGAGTGGACAGAGCAATGCTGATGATGTTTCCCGTGTTTATGCTGAACAGAGAAAACCCAAGGAAGAGCATGGTGAGGGACTCGATCGGACTAGGCGACCTGACAAGAAACATAAGTGTCAATTCTGCGGATTGACTGAGGTCCATGAGAAAGGAAAAGTTTGCCCTGTATTCGGGAAGAAATGTCACAAAATGTCATAAATGGAATCACTTTTCTTCTGTATGCAAATCTGGGGACTTGTAATTATAAGGCTAGAAAACAGAAGCCAGGCAAAGCGGGGAAAAGGTGAATTAAGAAGACAACCGCTGACAATGCTGAAGCCACAAGCTCGGATGACGAATTTTTTAGTCAGGCAGCAGAACACCTGGCACGAGCCATGAAAATTAGACAGATTGGTGAGGACAGTGGTAATTATCGAACCGATAGTGGTACTGATGTTAACATCATGGACGAACACCAATTCAAGGCATTCATCCATAGAACGAATGATAAGCCTGCCCTAACAGACAGTAATGTCAAGCTGCGCACTCTTCAACACAAACTAGAGGTCAAAGGAGAATTCCAGACAGTTATTCGTAATTGAACATGCGGGAAAGCTACTAAATTTGTCGTGGTATCTGGAAGAATACATTCACCCCCACTGATCAGCAAGGAAACATTGACAGAGTTAGGAATGCTGAAGATTCAACCTGATGGCCGTTTCGCAGAACCCAATGACTTAGCAGTTTCTAAGGAGAAACATAGTGCAAACACAGTCAAACAGGAGAAAGGCGAACAAGACCTACAAGATCTAATTACAAATACAGCCACTTATTTCAAGGTATTGGTAAGATAGAAGACAGGAAGAATGGCAGCGAAATCCTAGGCCAATTCCATATGAAACCTGAAGCAGTTCCAGTTGCGCAGAAACCTAGCTGGGTACCATATTTTCTTCAAGAACCACTAAAGAAATGGTTGGAGCAAGGCGTAAATGAAGATATCTTTGAGAAGGTACCTGACGGGGAATCAATAACGTGGTGCTCTCCCATAGTAGTACAGCCAAGCCAAAGTTTGCAGGAATACCATCAGATAAGCTGGATTCGCACATGATCAGGGCGAGTGTCGACTTGCAAGTTCCAAATAAGCACATGGAAAGAAGTCGAATTTCGCAGGCACCAGTAGTTGAAGATTTCATTCATAAGTTCCATGACGGCACCATCTGAACGAAATTAGACCTTCGGCTAGGATACCACCAGCTAGAGCTACACCCGGAATCAAGGTCCATTGCAACCTTCAGCACACCATGGGGTAACTTCAGACCTAAAAGGCTAGTGTTCGGCGCAAAAGCATCTCAAGACCTGTTTGACGAGGCAATGAGCAGAAGCTTCGGGGACATTCCTCGATGCCTCAGTCAAAGAGACGACATCCTAATTGGGGCAAGCAATTGGAAGGAACACAATGAAACACTTGAGCTAGTCTTTCAGAACGCTGAAGATGATGGGGTCACCTTCAACAAACCCAAGTGTGCCTTTGGCCAAGCACAGATCACTTTTTACGGTTACCGATTTGACAAGGATGGTCTCAAACCCACACCGAAGAAAGTACGAGCCATCCATGAGTGCCCAGCGCCCGCATCAAAGGCAGAAGTAAGAAGTTTTCTCGGCATGACTGGGTATCTCTCCAATTTTATACCCCGGCATGCTTCCCTCACAAAACCATTAAGAGAATTGACACATAAGGACACTAAGTTCCACTGGGGACCTGAAGAGGACAATGCTTTTGAAGAATTGAAGGCTAAAATCTCCAACGAAGACACAATGGCATTCTTCAACCCAAAGCGGCCAGTTATGGTGAGAGTCGAAGCTAGTTACAACGAGGGACTATCGGCTGGCCTTTTCCAATAATCCACCAAGGGCTGGCAACCAGTGCATTTCATAAGCCGTAGGCTGACAGATGTGGAAAAGAGGTACAGTCAAAAGGAGACGGATACATTATGTGTGAAATGGGCTAAAGATCGATTTTCTATCTACCTACTTGGGGCACCTAGGTTCACAATTGTTACAGCACATAAACCACTCCTACCACTGTTCAATAAACCGACTGCAAAGCTTCCACCCCGCATAGAGAAATGGGTCATGGAAATGCAAGATGTGGACTTTTAAATGAAATACGAGCCTGGAAGAGATGAAGCTGACCCTCTGGATTTTTTGTCAAGACACCCTCTACCAATGATTGGTAACAACAGTACTGAGAAGGTTCTGAAGGCAACTATAGAAACAGAGCATGCAGTTGTGTTGAACAGGATAAAAGAGAAAGCGTGTCGAGATACTACACTACGGAAGCTCAGCAATACTATCAAGGAAGGGAACTGGGAAATAAGCAAGAAGGATGTTGATCTAGCTCCATTCTATCCAATCAAGGATGAGCTATATGAAGCACAAGGCCTGATATTTAGGATGGAAAGAATTGTTCTACCAACAAGACTACAGCAGAAAATCATCAAAACAGCTCATAAGTTAGGACATATCGGTATAACGAAGACGAAACAAATGCTCAGAGACAAATACTGGTTTCCCGGTATGAATGGTAGGATTGACCAAATGGTGGAACATTGCTATGATTGCCAAGTCACCACACAAGACCGCAGACAGGAGTCTATTAAACCATCAGCGATCCCGAAAGAACCATGGGAAGAAATTTCAGTTGATTTTGGAGGACCCTATCCGGATGGTCACTACAATTTGGTAGTTCTGGATCAGAGAACCCGATACCCTGAAGTGGAAGTAATGTTCTCAACGGCGATGAGACCAACCAAGGAAAAATAAAAGAAAATCTTCGCTCACCATGGCTTACCAAAACGAATACAGCCCGACAATGGTCCGCCATTTAACTCAAAAGAATTTGCGACCTTTGCAGAAGAAGGATTTCAATACCACCGAGTAACACCTGTGCATCCCAGAGCTAATGGACAAGTTGAGTGCTTCATGTAGATTCTTAATAAAACAGAACAAATTGCCCACCTTCAAGCGAAAACTCGACTTGACAGAAACATGGCAGTCCATGACATGCTAGCGGCCTATAGGGATGCACCACACCCAGCTACCGGCGTAACCACTTATCAAGCAATGTCTAACAGGCCAATCCGAACAAAATTGAGCCATATAACGCTGAAAAAAGAGGAGTGAGCAAGATTACTTAATCGATAAGAAAGACAAGCTCTACAAGGACAAGATGAGACGCGATGATACAAACACCAAGGAGCACAACTTTATCGTGGGTGACTATGTCCTGTTAAAACAGAAGAAGGTCAACAAATGGTCAACGGCGTATGAACCGATCTTCTATACAATTATCAGAATTAGTGGATCTACAATCACGGCAAGGCGAGTCACAGATCGTCGAGAAATTTGCAGAGATTCGAGCCATTCTAAATTGGCCAATGCCATCATGCATGAAGGTGGAAAAGGAGGGCATTGTGAAGACTGGAGAGAGACTCTACTTGTGAACACTGACAGCGCTGACCAATCATCTGAGGAATGGATACAATCTCAAGGGGAGCAGTTACAACCAAGAGATAGCCCCGAGCACAGAGGTTCCATAGAGGAGAATGCTCTAAACCAATCACCTAAAGATGCAAATCTACAATCGAAGGATTATCAACCACTGGCTATGACACCGGCACAAGACACTCTAAGACCGGTAAAAGACACGGCTAGACCAACGAAACACAGGCCTAGACCAGCACAAAACGTGCCCATGGCAGAATCATCGTCTGGACCGAGAAGGGAACGGCGTAGACCTGCTTATTTGACTGATTGTGTCGCACAAATGTTAAACAGTTAGCTTTAAGCGGACTCTTAGCACGTGCAACAGACATTCAAGAGACATTAGTGGTAGATCAGTTAGTATGACTTTTCATTGAGTGATATTTATATTGCTGTTATACTAACCTACTAATCTAATGCGTTAGGTTCAGGGAACTATGGCCATCGAACTATTATTACTCCATTAACTTAGGGCTTGCATGTTAGCATCCGTAAAAAAAAAGGGAGATGTTATATCCTGTGTCACTTACACGAATATGTTACCATAGTACATCTCATCTTTCCCACATCACGTTGTTTACCACCATATAAAAATACGGGAACTTTGCACATGCGAATGATGTAGTATACTCTCAGAATGTAGTAAACAACCCGTGGTCTTGAAGTGCTCTGTTGTAACCTCGTATATCGACGGTCCCAACATTGACTGTGAGGAATTTCTGAATAGCATAGAAGATATTTGCATCAATCTACATACTGCTCCACGAAATAAGGAATACTACTTTTTCGCCTTATTTACTGACCGACAGGAATGAATATTCACTCGACCTCGAGCTATTTTCCACGAAAGGCATTTACAATCATTTAAAATTCGTGGTTTTTGTCGTGGCTTACGTTTACAAAGGAGTCGAGGAACGTAATTATTCACAACGTGGTTTGAAAACTCCACAGAATTAATGATCCAAATTTTCGCACGCTTTTATACAACTTAAGGAAAGCTGCCTGAAAAAGCATCTCAATTTTCGACGGTGGCGGTGTTCAAAGTTATAATCATATCTGGCGAGTCAGAATTCCTAGAATCAAATAAGTACCCATGACAATTTCGTTTCATTTGAAGTGCCAGCTGGTGAAGAACAGAAGCGAATATTCTTCATCTGAAAATGAGTTTTCGATGGAAATACGAGCATCTAAATGTAAGCGAGTGTAGGTGTGGACAAAACCTGGCCTCGGCCATGACCTACCCTGTGGCCTACCCTGTGGCTTACCATGTGGCCTACCGTTGGTCAGATTTTTAAGAACATTGAGATAAAATCAGTAAGAGTCGAACTAATACGCTGGTGTACAATTATCTGTCTCTGAAAAGGGTATACTAAGAAGTCACTAAAACGATTTTCAACGCAGGGAACGAAACACTGCAAATATCACAGCACTCAACGATAACTGTAGGTTAAGGGGGAGAGGAGGGGCCAGTATTGCGTGGTCGCAGAGGATAGGCAAAATGGCGGCTTTATGATGCAGGCTGTCAGTTGTTAACGTATAGTGGAGTGCTGGTGTAAAATTGTAACGAACGGCGTTATATCGGAGAGCATACATATCCAGGTTATAAAACGCAAACATTACGTGCCAGGCCAATTTTTTAAGTGCCCTCGAGTGCTGTAGAGTATTGAATTTGCAACGAGCACCCCGGGACACGCACGCTTCGCCGTCGTAAACATTTCGCAAACTTTACTTGCTTTTCCAAAGAAAGGGCCAGTATTGCACTAATTTGAAAGGAGAGCTGATATGATGATGTTTGCCCAAAAGCTGCGTTTAACCGGCTTCTGTTCCTCGATTTCCTTATTCCTGATCAGGAGGTTAAGGAATTTTGATTGGAATGTAGCCGCCAAAACAGCAGAAGAAAGTCGTTGGTAAGAGAGTACTTAGGAAAACGTTGAAAGGTTTCCAGCAATGCTTTCTTTTTAAAAATCTCACCACCGGTAGGCCATAGGGTAGGCCATGGCCTAGGCCACGTTTTATCGACACCCAGCGAGTGTTGCTTTTCTCGTTTATGTGGACAACAAACTAAAAACAAGACGAATGTGGAATTTGGAATAAACGAGTCGCGCAATGTGTGGGCAGAATTAAAAGAAAAAACCGCAGTCTAAGAAAAGGCGGGGAAATAGCGAGGTATTAAAACCCAGTGTGGTAGTACAGGTAGCTTCATTCCTGAGAATAGAACACGTTTAAATTGCAATTCATAATTGCACTTAAGTTCATGTTTATGTGTTTCGCCGATCGATCGATAAAGTAAACAGTCATAAAAAAGTTTGTCACCGATCGGGTAATGATGCTTCGATCTGTGGGCTCCGTCCGAGTGTGTTAATGAACTCGAGAGAGGTTCTGTGTAACGCACAAATGCCTCTTAAAAGAAATATGCGAGATCGCGGCCAGACAGGGCAGAAGTCTCTAGAACATTATAGTTTCCTTTATCTCTATGCTAATCCAGCGTAATTAACTTTGATAGTTTTTCCACGTATTGTTAAGTTTTCAATCTGATGAGATTTTATGGATAGCATTTTAGAAGAGGCGTTTTATAAAATCATGTGGAATTTTTATACAATTTATTTTTATTTGCCAGTTTTATTAGTTACCTTCATTTAAGAGTTTCAATCCCTTAAACTTTAAAAACCTTTCAGTAGAAGCATTAGATATTGACTGACAAGAAATTTAAATTTTATGATTTATCAAACTTTCTGATCGAATATTGTAAATCTATAACTTCCAAGATCTGATTGTATCTTCTCCCCTCTGGTTTCTAGGCATTTCCTTATAAATTGGTTTTGAGAATTTGATGTTGAATCAAGATAGTGGTCTTTTTACCCATTCACTGGGCTATGTATGGATACCATTTGGGAAAAGTTACATGTTAGTCAAGCTCCTTAAAGTTAAACTAGATTGATACTGTAAACACAATTTAATTGAGCAATTTGTTGTCATTTTATCTTGCAGATGGAAAAAATAGTTATCTTGGCACTTGTCATCCTCTCATACGGTGCATAATTTTAATTTTACTTGTCCTGTGCATGAAAAAATTATGTGCATAGAATTAGTTGAAGATGAGTGTATTTTTAGTTTAACACAAGTGCAAATTGCCAATAATGCACACACACTGCCTAAATTTTACCTGTCCAGATCTGTAATGCTTTTTTCATGCAAGTTACTGATTAGTGACAACATTATTTCTTATACAATTTGGTTTGAATAAGCTCTTGTCCCACTGCCTCGCGTAATTTTGTTGTCTTTGATAAGGTTACTTGTGCTTATAAATAACTTATTGCACAGAATCATGCTATCACATATACTAATAGTTTTTAATATATTTTTTTTGTAGTCGCACTATCTTCAGCCCATTCCCATTTCATGACTCTGCACCCCGCTATGTCAAGTGAGATATTTTAACCTTAAACTCCCAGAACTGATTCACATGTTACTTCTCCCTAAAATATACATGCATTATCTAGCAAATAGGTAACGAGAATACTCAAACTCATCAGGTAGAAGGAATTATCTTGAACTCAAACCAAATTCTCAGAACCAATTTCCAAGGAAATGTGTAGTAGCAAGAGGGGAGAATTAACAATCAGATCTTGGGAGTGAAATGGTCAATCATAGCATGGTAGACATTTTCTACTTATCACCAAGAGACTTTAGTGTTCTTATTACCTTTTTGTTGAGGTTATAATGTACGGATATTAATAGGAGAAGTTCCATTCTACTTGATTAAAAGCTTGTCAGAAAGCTCCTTTTTTAGCTATCAACAGTTAATCTCATAGTTAACATAAGAACAATTTTTCAGGTCTGATCTTCGCTATTGCAGAAATAGCACTCTCTACTGCGAGGATCATGCATCATACGTATAAGAACAATTATTGATAAGGGAGAGAAATTTTGGAAAAATTCCTGAAATGGGAAGGGGGGATAATAGTTTTCAAATATATTTGGTGGATCCTTTCACCCACATGAAGTACCCAAAAAAATTCCTGCACATCATTTGAATATATTTAGCAGAATGCTAATCAGTTAAAAACAAAAACTGTTAATTAAGTAAGGGGTATTTAGACAATGCCCATTTAAGGGAGCCAAGATGACGAGAAATTTTAAGAAAGTGAGTAGAAAATTAAAGTTTAGACTTTGGATGTGAAGAATTGAATGCTGATAGAACTTTCTTCCTTGCAGTGAGAATAAGTATTCTCTGTGGTGCCCTTTAGACATTTCCTATACTGCTGACAAAGAGAACCTGCTTAATAACTGAGCAATCTAAGGTTCAATGAATGAGACTTCAAGGTTAATTTGCATTTCCTTTTTGTTTCCACAGCACAAATGACAATGGCAAGTAAGTTGAAGCATTAACTAAGACATTTGACTGCTGTCATTTTCTGTTCCAAGATTAGGGAACAGTTTTCTGTAAGCAGAAAACAAGGAAAAGGGTAAGCATCCAGGAACTGGTAATG